GAGCGGGTCCCTTCTGGAAGCAGAAGGGGATGGGGGCTGTGGGGGGCAGCCGTCATGCATGCACCTTTGGAGCGTGGGCCAGGAGGATGGGGCGCGGGGTGCCAGGTGGCTCACTAGGCCCTGGGAGCGTGTGTCCCGCACCGCTGAGGGCTTCAGGCCTTGGGCAGTGTGTGAAGCTTCCGCGGGAGCTGGCCTGTGCCCACGGGTGTGTGTGTGTCGGGGGGAGGGGCACCCACCTTGGCGACCTCCCAGGAGCTCTTTGTCGGGTGGGAGGTTTCCCGGGAAGGACCCTGGGTCCAGGGCTGGACCCGGCTCCATCCGCCAAGCAGCCTGGCCTCTGCCCCCCACAGCGGTGCGGAATGACCGGAACAAAAAGAAGAAGGAGGCGCCCAAGCCCGAGTGCTCGGAGAACTACACGCTGACGCCGGAGGTGGGCGAGCTCATCGAGAAGGTGCGGAAGGCGCACCAGGAGACCTTCCCCGCCCTCTGCCAGCTGGGCAAATACACTACGGTATGGCTCCTTCCTGCCGCCAGCCCAGCCCTGCCCTCCGAACCCCTGCCCGTGGCCTTCTTCACCCACCTCTGCTCCTCGCCCAGGAATTGAGGGCTCGGCAGAGGGCGTGCTGGGAGGGCAGCCGAGAAGGAGAAGGCCCTCACCCTCCTCCCCTCCCCCCAGAACAACAGCTCCGAGCAGCGTGTCTCCCTGGACATTGACCTCTGGGACAAGTTCAGTGAGCTCTCCACCAAGTGCATCATTAAGACGGTGGAATTCGCCAAGCAGCTGCCCGGCTTCACCACCCTCACCATTGCTGACCAGATCACCCTCCTCAAGGGTGCTTGCCTGGACATCCTGGTGAGGGTCTGCACCTCGACCGCCTGGGCACCACCCCGTGCCCTGGGAGCATGGCCTCCCACGCCTCCAGGGACCTCCCTTATCAAGGTCCAGCGATGCCCGAGGGTCACCCAGGCACTCCTACATGTGGGAGGGACAGGGTGCTGTCTGCAGGCAGCTTCCCCCACGCCATGCCCCAGGCACAGGGAGGCAGCCAGGGCTCCGCTCCGCTCTAGCACATGCATTGATTTGGGTACCTGTGGGGTGCAGAGCCCTGGACCGTAGCCCACCATGGTCCTCGCCTCCTGGAAACTCTTAACTTTCCTCCCAGCCCTCTGCGCGGAGTGCCCATGGTCCGGAGCTGAGCTGCTCCAGGTGGTAGCTGCCAGCCCCGTGTGGCTATTTAAGTTAAAGTACGATTCCTCAGGATTAAATCGTGCTAAACAGCCTAACTCCAGTGCATGGTGGTGATAATTTCAACGGCTATATGTGGCGGTTGCCTGCCACACTGGGTGGTGCAGAAAGTTCTATGGGACGGCAGTGTCACGGGGGCTCCTGGGGAATGCAGACACCGGGAGTGCCTGGTATGGGGGCCTCCGGGCCTTGAACATTCGCCCCTGTACACCCAGATCCTTCGGATCTGCACGCGGTACACCCCGGAGCAGGACACGATGACCTTCTCGGATGGGCTGACGCTGAACCGGACGCAGATGCACAACGCTGGCTTCGGCCCCCTCACCGACCTGGTCTTCGCCTTTGCCAACCAGCTGCTGCCCCTGGAGATGGACGATGCGGAGACCGGGCTGCTCAGCGCCATTTGCCTCATCTGTGGAGGTGGGTGGCATCCGAGTCTGGGGCCGGGGTGCTGCCTCAGAACCTCTCCCCGGAGAAAGAAGCTCAGGGATCATCAGATGTGGAAGGCAGGACCCCGGTCCCGTCAGGCACCTCTCAGAGGGGGACACTGAGACTCAGGCACAGGGCCTCATCTCTGGTCACATAGCAGGGGATGAGTGGCCGTGGGAACCTGAATGCTGGCCCTTTATCCCTAGGGGGTGCTCTTTCTATGGGGGTTCAGAGTGAGGCCCTGAAAGCCAGGCACTCAGATTCAAGCCTGCTGGGCTGCATGGCTTCCCAGCCACAGTGGCTGTGAGCCAGGGACAGGAACTGGCCTCACTTGCCGAATTTCCAGGGCCGCCAGGCAGTGCAGTGCGGCCTGGGGCAGACTGTCAGTGCAGTAGCTAGCTGCTGCTTGTCATGATGGGGGTTCTGCCAGGATGTGGGGTGGCGGGTGGGATGGGATCCTTGGCCATCGTTTCTCTGGGCTTGAGGATGGAGCTGCTTGTGTGCTGGGCTCTCCTGCTCAGCTAGGTAGATAGGGAGGTCTTGAAGCAACCCTCATCCCTAGCTAACAGTAAATATTGGGCTACAACCGTAAGGCCGGTGGTTCAAAGCCACCAGCTGCTCCTTGGGAGAAGGACGATCTGCTCCCATGAAGATTTACAGACTTGGAAAATCCTTAGGGAACCGTTCTCCTTAGCCCTAGAGGGCCACTCTGGGTCTGAATGGATTCAGTGGCAGGAGTTGGACGGTGTCTGTAGGTGTGCACACTGCACACAGCTCTCTCCACTGCTTTGTGAGAGAAGAGACTGGCCTCCAGGTGGGCCTGTCTGTGGCTTGGGCGGGCTCACCCCCTAGCGGCCGAGGCTGGGAACGCTCAGGAGGCCTCTGGCTCCCGCAGACCGGCAGGACCTGGAGCAGCCGGACAGAGTGGACCTGCTGCAGGAGCCACTGCTGGAGGCACTGAAGGTCTACGTGCGGAAACGGAGGCCCAGCCGGCCCCACATGTTCCCCAAGATGCTGATGAAGATCACAGACCTGCGAAGCATCAGCGCCAAGGGTGAGGCTTCCCTGCCTGGAGCGATCCCTGTGTCCACCCAGGGCGAGGCCCACGGGATGCCGGCCCAGGGTCCCTGTCCATGCCCAGGGTCATGTCCCAGCCCCGCTTCAGTGCCCCTGTCTGCCCAGGAAAAGTGCCCCAGCCCTTGGCCTAGTGTACACTCTCCTTACCCAGCGTAAGGCTGCCCAAACCTGAACCAGTAACCGTTGCTTGTGCCTCAGAGTCTGATCCTGCACCCCGCTCAGGAGGACCCAGTGTGTCCCCAAAGTGAGGGGCTTTAAAGCCTTCATGGGGGGGATCCCAGTGTCTTCGCATTTTGTTTTCCCATGAGCTTTCCGAAGTCTCTCTTGGGGGCCGAGGCCAAGGTCTTAAGAGATGCCACTGTGTGGCCGAGACTTCCGCCTGTCTGGCTCGGCGCAGGCCGGCTGCCGGGGAGGGCCTGGTGCTGTCCTTGAGCAACCGAGGGGTGAGGGCAGTAGCAGCAGCCACAGTTACCTTGAGACTCGTCTGAGTTGGAGCTCACATTATGACCCCTTGGTCCCTCCGCTTCTGGTGTTTGGGGGCTTGTGGAGGGGGCTCACGTCACAGGGTGGAGCCCTGAGGCCAGCGCTTGTAGATGCCGATCCCTCGCTTCCAGCCAGACTAGCCTGGTGCTGTGCCCCCTGGGCTGGGGGCCAAGGGCTTGCCCGCTGACCTGGGTCCCCACTATTCCCCCAGGAGCTGAGCGGGTGATCACGCTGAAGATGGAGATCCCGGGCTCCATGCCACCGCTCATCCAGGAAATGCTGGAGAACTCCGAGGGCCTGGACACTCTCAGCGGACAGCAGGGGGGCAGGGCACGGGACGGGGGCAGCTTGGCTCCTCCACCGGGCAGCTGCAGCCCCAGCCTCAGCCCCAGCTCCAACAGAAGCAGCCCGGCCACCCATTCACCATGACCGCCCGTGCCCTGGGCCCCGGCTTTTTTCTGCCTTTCTACCGACCAAGTGGACCCCCTCAGCCCTGCCTCCACTGTGCCCCCGGACAGAACCAGGACCTTCCCTGGGGCCGGGCTGGAGGAGGCTGCGACTCGGCGGCGAGCCAGGCAGTAGCCGGGGGCTGCGTGGACTGAGCACTCCTGCTGCCTCGGCTGACGGGGGTTGAGATGGTGAACTGAGTGAGCAGCCTCAGGATGGGGCACCTGGGGGCCTTGTGTTCAAGATGCCCCTCTGCCCACCTTGCCACATCTTCTTCACCAGCAAATGCCGGGACCTGGCTCCCCATCCTCAGAGCTCACAAGCCATTTCCCCCGTCGGACCCTCTCCCCTGCCTTGGTTGGTGACAGAGGGGGTGGGCCAGGGGTGGGAGCTTCCCCCTGTACATACCCTCCATACCAACCCCCAGGTATTAATTCTCGCTGGTTTTGTTTTTAATTTTAATTTTTTTTTGTTTTGAATTTTTTTTTAATAAGAATTTTCATTTTAAGCACATTTATACTGAAGGAATTTGTGCTGTGTGTTGGGGTGTGTGTGGAGCCAGATTCAGTGCTGGAGGGGGATGGGTCCTGAAGGAGGGAGGGGCTTTCCCCCCCTCCCCCGGGCTCCCTGCACCCCTTCACTCCCTTCCCCTCGCTTTTTCCCCTCAGTTTTCTCTTTAAAACTGTGAAGTACAAACTTTCCCTTGCCCGTGCTGGGGCGGTGGCCAGCCCCTCCGTGTAACCCCTGGGCGTTTCAGGAAGCCCCTGGAAAGAGAGGGCTCCAGGTCGTGGCAACCCCTCTGCAGTGTGAAAGGCAGGGAGGGGCAGGGCAGGCCTCAGTACGCAGTGTCCCGTCCTGCCTCCTGGAGCAGAGCTGCGTCCCCACTGATGCCCACATCACTAAGCTCCAGCCCCCACTGTGCAGGGGCCGGCCCAGGGGTCTGAGCTTCCCTGTCCCTAGCCTCAACCACCAGCACCCCATACAGGTACCCACCCCCACACTCCACACACACACACACACACACACACACACACACAACCCTAGTTCCTCCATCTTCCTGCTGCACCAGCCCCCTGCCGGTCCCATGCCCTTACCTCCTTGCCCCGCAGGACGGGCCTACAGGGGGTCCCTTTCCTCCCTCTGCCCCCTACCCCTCTGCTGGGGGAGCTGGCTCTGCCGGGTTCTCCTCACTGTGGGGTGGGGGCGTCCCCCCTCCCTGTTACTGTTGGACTTCCACTGAGATCTACTGGATAAAGTTCTATTTATTTTACCTGCGCCTCAGAGCCTCGCTGCCTCCGCCCTTCTCTTGGTGTCTGGGGTGGGGGCCCCCCGTGGGCTCGGGGCCCCTGATGATCTGGACTGAGTAGTTGGCAAGTCCACCCCCAAGCTGCCCTCAGGCCTGGGATCTTTGGAGGTTCCTTGGGAGGGGTCAGGAGGGGTAGCCCTGCGCCTGGGGACCCCAGGCTCAGCTGGGGGTGGGGATGCCAGCTCCCACTGTCAGGGGGTCGACCCTGGGGAAGCTTGAGGCTGGAATCGGGGCCACTCAGGCAAAGCAGGTCTGTTTGGGAGTGACTACAGCTTGACATTTTGGTAGGCGGGCAGGGCATGGGGGCAGGGCTGAGGCAGGCTAATAACTGACTGGCATCCTGCCCCTAGGACTGCCCTGACAGAAGGCCACCCTGTGGGCCGTGGGCAGGGTCCCAAGCTCCTGGTGGAGGCGTGAGTGGGAGGTTCCGGTCACGCACGAATCAGCTGCAGAATGGGGACCAGTGCTTGGCTCTCCCCTCACAGCGCAGGATTCTTTGCTGGATCCCTGAATCCCTTGAAGGAGAGCCTTACGCTCTGGGATCTGAGGGGGAGCCCAGGAAGCAAGGTGTGTTGGGGGGAGTTTAGCGCGTCCCCAGTCATTTCTGTTGTACCCCTGCGGTGCGAAGGGCTCCCCTCAGAGGCTCTGTCTTTCACAAGCTGCCTCTGTTGGCTGCCCGAGTGGACCCGGATGTCATAGCAGGAGAGCCGCTGCGCCGCCCATCTGATGGGAATGGCGTTGCACTGTAACCTGCCGGCAGGTGTCCCCTCAAACATGCACATGCGCTCTGTGCGGCAGGAGACTGAGGGGTGGCCGTGGATCACCCGTTTGAACACCTAGCTGCCAGCCGTGATGGTGTCCTCACAGCCCTCTCCCTGATGAGAAGATTTGGGTTTAAACGGAGTATGGCTGGAGGCCATTCTGTACAAGCTCAAGGAAAGACCAGAGGTGTCGGGAGCACCCTGGGGTGCATGTGTCTGAAATCGGGGGCATGTCCACTGTATGATAAAACCATGACCTAGACTTTACTGCTTTACATGTAAACAGGAGTCAGGTTTGGGGCGGGTTTTCTACGGAGTGCCTAGTGGGCCATCGTTGTCGTTTACTGGGGGAATCCTAGTCTTGGCCCCTAGATGCCAACCAAGCTGCCATCCTCTCCTCAGCTCCCCAATCTGGCTGGCAGGAGGCGGCAGGCTCCTGAACTCTCCCCGAAGTGGAGCCCGAGGGTTTCGTCACCCACCGCCCGCAGTTCCAACCCTCAGTCCCTGTAAGATCGACGAAGCTGAGTTTCCCAGACAGATTGTTTTCTCAGTGAGCCTTCGGAGTTGTCAACGCGCCCAACACCTAACCCACTGCACTGCTACGGGCTCCCTTACCAAGTGCCACCGAGGAGTGGCTCCCGGCTGTCCCAGCTGAGCATCGACAATTTGGACGGGATACTGGTTTGCCTTTCTTCAGCAACCAGAACGTAGCTTAGAAAAGAAGATGGTGTGACTTAAGTGTTTCCGTTGGACACATCAGGAAAGGCCAGTTGGCAGATGGTGGCAGACCGGACAGTGCTCCCTTCCGTTTTGAGGAAGCGGCTCTGAGGCTCTGGCCCCCTGGGGCTGCTGCAGGGAGCCCAGGTGGAAGCTGAGGACTAGCCTGAGAGGCGAGCAGCGCAGCGGCCGAGCAGTGCAAGGGCTCGGCAGCCGGAGGGCTCACGTGCTCAGCAGGCGCCGGTGGGTGAGGATTTGTCAAGTGGGTGGGGGTGATGTCTATCAGAGCGCCTCCACTGGAGGTGGCGGGGAGGAACCCCGAGGAAAGCAGGCGGTGGCTGGAGAAAGGCGGGGCCAGGGTCCCGGTTCCGTTTCGTGGGGGCCTCCTATCCTGAGATGCCTTCACAGAGCTGGGCTGGAGAGACTGCTGCCCTGGGATCCAGGACACCCACACAGTGCACACAACAGAACCTACACAGAGCGGCCGTGTGGACACGTGTGGACCCCTGGCACTCTCGGGATGT